CTATATCTTGTGGTGGATGGCTTTTTAATTTCTTAGAAAAAAGCAAGACAAAAATCATTGCTTAAATAAATTCACGAATTAAGAGTACTGAGTTAGCCTTCCTTTGTGCATGCATTTATGCAAATACCTGATGCTGACAAGTGTATTAAAAAACAAACAAAAAACTGTAAAATGATGGAGGAAGATATGCCTAACATTAAGGAGCTTGGTATTATTAGGTTTTGAGAAGGGTGATCTCTAAAATTATGTTGCCTTCCCTGCCTCTTCTGGTATGTTCACAGATGACAGAAAGGCTTCACGTTTGAGCTCCAGGCCTTGGAAGTAGCGGAGTAAGGAGAAGTGCTGTCTTCTGGTGTGACTGCATGCATGTGCAAAGGTTGCTGACATCATCTGGGATGTCTGGAGGGAGACCTGGTAGACTTCTGTGGTCATCAACAGGCTGATTAACTGTGGTGCTGATAAACTGTGTAGTATTCAGGCCCCTTGTTGAAAATTGATATTATGAAGGCATGGTGAGATGGAAGATCCAGAAATGCAGTGCAGTGTGTGGCACGTGTTTGGTTCTTAAGAGTGTTTTCCTTGTGTGTACTTGAATCAAGGTTGGAGATTGTTTTCTAATTGTTTTTGTATTGCATAGTAAAAACTATTGTGTGGTGTAGGTTTGTTTCCTCCTCCCTCTGCTGCTCCTAGTTTTATTTAGGTATGTGGCTGCAGAAGAGATGCAAACTTTGTTTCTCGCATCTCAAATTTAAGACTTCTGATCTGCTATTGCAGCTGTTGCACACAAAAGGCTTGTTCAGGTCTGCTAGTAAAAACCAAGAGGCTCCATTTGATCAGTATGGTTCTAAAGCATCATGCTAGAAATGTGGAGTTTTGTTTCAAAAGTTCTCATGAATATAACCTGATAAGGCACCATCTCTGTTCTAGAGGTAGAAATAGTTCCTTTAATTCTAGAGGGCAGAAGAATGTAATTGCAAGTGGTTTTGGTCTTGACTTCAGTTAAGTCTGTATATCATTTTACATATCACTCATGCCTAGTGTTAAATAAATTTTTCTAAAACACTTTGTCCTATTTTGTCTGTCAGCTTTGAGCATGTGTCTATAGTTGGTGTTGTATTTTCTTTTTAGGGCCATGGAAAAATGCATGCACTGTGTCTTGTGGTTTTTTTTTTTTGTTTCTTGTTTCTGTGTGATTTCTGGCATTACAGCACTTCATGAAAGACTGTTAAACTTGCTGGAACGTTCTTAAGTACGAAGTTTCCTGCAGCTTCTATTCAAGATAGAAATTTGTTCATCACCACACTCAGAATGATACCATGTGGTGTCAGAGTGTGTATCCTGTAGGTGATGAACCATACCATCTTCCCAGGCAGTGTGGATAACACCAGGAGAGGAATGCGTGTGGGAGCTGAGACTGCAAGCTGGATGTGAGGACTCTGAAATGACACTGGTCTTGTCTAGTCACCACCTGCTAAGGAGGCTGGCTTTCCACCCTGCCCCATGAATTCAAGCACATGAGGGGATGTGTGTGTCTGCTGCATTCTTTCCTGTGCCCTATACGTGTGTGCTGCTCTGCTTGCAGCACAGTGAAGCCTGCTACCAGGCTCCCAGGGATGGATCAGCAGGCAGGCCAGCTACACAGCGAGCCCACAGGCATTACTGAGATGCTGAACTTCCCACCACTGGGAAATGAGGCAGAAATTTGGTGGTCCAATCCATTACTTTCATTGAATAACATATATTTATTGAAATTCAATGTGGATACTGTTCTGTAGAAGTAAATGAAGATCAACACGTAGATTCCCAATATCTTTTGTTTGTGGCTGTTTGCAGTGTGGCTAAAAGGAGCTGGCTGAGCTGCTGGCTGCATGAGGCTTGGTATGGAGAGAGGAAAAGAGTAACAGAAAATGACTTCCCTGCTTGCTGAAGAATGTGTACCATAGTGACAGTGCATGCTGGTTTTTTTTGTCTCAATTCTTTTAGACTAAAGGGTACTTCTACTGCATAGGAAAGACTGAAGTGTAAGAACTCTTCCTTTCTGGAAGGATTAGAACACTTTTTCCAGTTAATTCTAGACCGCCTCACTTTTACTGCTGCTAATACTTTCTTAAGAGGCTGTGGCCATGTGCTCTGTAGCTGTGAGCAGCTTGTGCCTGTTAGCCAGTGCCAGATGTGATCCATGTAGTGGCTTTGTTCCTGCAATACTTAGTGATCTACGTACCATGGAAGATTTTTCAGTTAATGTCTAGGTTCACTTTGGTGTCCTGTCTTTGCTTAGTGGAGGGAAAGACGTTTGTAACTGGGTTGATCTCTGGCTGACTGCTGAACTTTATGCTATGTGGCAACAATTAAACAATATGGTTAGAGTGTAACAAGCTGTAGGATGTGGTGTTACCCCAGTACTTTGCTCTAAGGACACTGAGCTGTGTAGTTTTCCCAGGCTTTGTCCTACAAACTCAGAATTATTCTGTGAATGTTGCTTAGAGAAAGAAATTGTTATTTTCTGTTAAGTTTTTTTTTTTTTTTCCTGGCTGGATACTGGAATGTTTTTATTGTGTGTTTCAAGATGCTGTATGATTTATTTTTTTTTTTTAGTTTGCAGTGCCATGCATTTATACGAATAACAATTTTCTTAAATATAGTATAATGTTAATACCTGTATTAACTGATGTAATAGTCATAACTGCAGTTTCACTGTGATTTATAGGCAGTTTTTCTGTGGATAATTAATAATGAATTTGGTATGTATGTTAAATTAAATGTGAATTCAAGAGAGTCCATCGCTAAAAGTTTAAGAACTTGAGCAATATGGATAAAACAATAGTTTGAATCGTGTGCAATTTTAAGGTCCTTGTTTTTTTCTCCATATGATCTTGGGCAAAGTTGTTTCTATTCTTCCATTGCCTTGTATGTAAAAGTTTCTCATCTGATGAGACTACTCTGAAGTGCAATTGCAGTAGGTAAGACAGTGTGATTTTACAGATGTGACAGTTGCGACCTGCTGTAGGGAACCTGCTTTGGCAGGGGGGTTGGATTCGATGATCTCTGGAGGTCCCTTCCATCCCCTACAATTCTGTGATTCTGTGATGCCCTTGAAATGTTTTAATTATTCTAAATCATCTGAACTGCACCTTTAATTTTTTTTTTTAAAACCTATGGAAAAGAAAAACCAAAAGCGTTACCAGAAGATAAAATAATTGTAATTTCATTTCCTGCATTGAATACTGCAAAATGCAAATAAAACCAATTGAGTAAAACATTGTGGGGACAGGACAGCGTTCTCCTTTGCACTGTACAAGCTAAAATGTTATTTGTTTTGGCCAGGGAAGAAAGCATGAGGTGAAGGATGAGGTTGCAGCCTGACACCACTATGGATTTTTGTAACGAGAGGTTCTGAATTGTTGCTGGTAGGCCTCGAGGAGCCTTGTGCTCAGTAACCTGGAGTACAGTCAGGAAGTTTTGAGGAGTAAGTCCCATCATCAGGTTTTTATTTAATTTTATTTTGTTGAAAAGTTGTTTGTTCTTAAAATAGCATAGGTTGAAGTGCTTCTGGAATGAGCAACAACAATTTTTACCCCCTAGGCTGAGAGCAATTTAGTTTTTCTGGGTAGTAAAATGAAATGGTGTGGGACTGGAAAGAAGGGAATGTTGCTGTAGGGAATTTAGGAGATTGCGAGTTACTGAGTTGTCCAGAAGTTGTAATTGGTGAGCCAATGTAAGTGCATAAGTACCATGGGTAATGGTGCTTTCTAAACACCCACTTACTGCAGCTGAATCCTACCAAACCTTTCCATGAGCATTAAGGAGATAATGTTGTATCACGAGAGCTGCTCTGAAAGCAGTACCTCCTATTTCATTATGTTGGCCTGTGATGTCAGAGGTGGATGTTGGTGTTATGGCAGTAGAGGTTGAACCTTCTTGCCAGTATTCCAGCATGTGCTGTTGCCATGTGACTGATGGCAGCAGAGGGACAGTCTGAAGTATGTATGAAGTGTGTTATTGAGTTCCTCCATGTGGAAAAAATTGCTTTCACTGTCATTCATTAATACTTGCTGAACATTGATGGAGACCAAACAGTGGATGTGAGGTGGTAGGTGCTGCGTTTCGGCAGTGGTAACAGTGACAGTGGATCACCTTGGCTGGTGTAGGCTGCTGCTGGCTCAGCATACAGGCTCTTGTTCATCATTGTCAGAAATGCATAACTAAAGGTGGCGACTGTGTGGAAAAATCGTGTTTTGTAGCTGAGAATTTGCTCTATTATATGGTATTATTGTGCTCTCTGTGCCTGTTGTAGTTTCCATGGAAATAAATGGGAGGCATTACTTTCAGACTGACCTACATACTACTCATTTGCCTGTCCTATTTGCTTTCCTGCAACCTGCTACAAACTGCAGTTGTTTCATGTTCTTCAACTTTGCACTTCAGAGCGCAGTGTTTCATACAATGTGTAGGGGTCTGTGGTAGCAGGCGCTCAGCAAGAGTCCTGTACTTTTGGGTCTGGCAAATGCAGACTTGCCTGGTGAAATTCACATTTCGCTTTTGGCATGCTATTATGTTTTAATTTAAAACTTGATTGACGGTGGCTCATAAATTCAAGTAAGATCCTTGTAGTTTCTAGATACTTTCAGGGGAGTTTTCCAGGCGTGGGATGCAACTGTGCTGCTTCTTTGTGATAGCCGCTGTCTGAGAATTGTAGGAAAAGTCTCCAAAACTGTCTGTAGATCTATTTGCAGTTATTATTATCATTTAGAGAGAGATGGAGACAGGTTAGCAACATTTATTTATGAAGGAGGTTTTGTTTGTAGTGTTTGAAATTGGTATTTAAAGGGAAGCCTTTAAGCCTTGAATGTCTTAGTGTAATTTATGCATAAAAAATAGGCTTTTAGCTTCTTGATCTAGAACAAATAAAAATAAATCATTGTACTTGTATTATTGATATGACATAAGTCAGAGCTAAAAAAGATTCTTTTTTTTTTTTCTTTTTTTTTTTTTCTGTACAGAAAAGATGAAAAGGAGTATGCACTGAAGCAAATTGAAGGTACAGGGATATCCATGTCGGCCTGTAGAGAGATTGCAGTAAGTGTACTTAAACAAAACTATTTTTAATGACATTCTTATTCAACAAGTATTTTAATTTTCTCTACAGTAAGATTATGTAAATGTTTTCCTTGAAGTATGCAAGTATGAAAGTTAATCAAACATGAGCTTTTTATAAAATACTTTGTAAATAACAAATTCTTTTCTGGTGTGTGGAAAGAGACATTCTTGCTAGGTTAATGGTAATGGCCTTCTCTGGTATTTTGTCTTGCATGCTTTTGTGTGGAGAAGGAAATAAATGTGACCCTTTTAATCAAGGTTTGTTTCAAAACTGGGTGGTTTTAAAATGACTTGTAAGAAAATGGTTTCGAAAGATTACAACTGTCATTACAAGTCAGCTTGCTAACAGTGTATTTTATGTCAGACTAATGGTTTGGTACCTGACAACAGCTTGTTTTCCTCATTCCTTTTTTGCTTTGCTAAGTACGGAGAAGTTTCATAGCAAAATAAAAACAGCTTTACTTGTATTTTTATTACATGTATCTTAAGGGAAAAAAAGAGGGCACAGTAGTGCTCATATGTACATATATTTATATAAACTCCTTCAAAGTTGGTAAGAATTAGATGTTTTTCTGTGAGGATCAAAAACATTTAAAGAGCGAGTTCTGACTGAAAATATGCAGTACTGTTGAAATGCTGGATAATGAGTAAAATTTTGCAGTGCAAGAATTTCCTGCATTACAACATAAATGCATTTGCTTGATTAAATATTTACCTTCTTTGAATGCTGTCAGTATGCTGAGGGCTTTTGGAAATATAAGGCACCATTTGTGCCTACAACTTTTTATAAGCTGGTACTGTTGCGCAGATGTACAGTATTCAGGTACTCAACACATTGTGAAGCATTAGAAATTTGTGATATTCACAAAGTGAGCAGTACTGCGTTCAGCACAGTGCACACAGTAATTCTGTGTCAAGAGCCATAACTGATAAAAATACTGTCCTTTTGAAGTGCTTGTCACTGCAAGGTCAAGGTCACTGAGGGATTTGAGAGTTGGCTCCATTGCTGTTGATTGCTTTACACAAAATCTACTCAGCGGCCTTTTTGCTAATATTTCTGCCTAAGTCTGTTTTGACAGCAGTGAAGTATTTTTCAGTTTCTTCGTCTCCATAGTAGTATGATTTAAAACAGACAAAAGACAAGAATCAATGTGTGGAATATAGTCCAGAGGAGACTTTTGTCATGATAGCACTGTGGTACGGAGCTGGTCCTGCCAGACACAACATTGTGAGGAAATAGTGTCAGATTACTTTGTCCTCTAACCATATATCATCATTTCATTTCTTAATTATTTGTTTTTAAATTGTTCAAGCTTTGTGCAAATAGCAGTTGCATAAATTGTTTAGATCCTCTCAATAGTTACTCTTTTAATTCTTCCTTTGATGTTATTTTACTCTTCTCTAAAGTTCATAGTAAAACACTATAACTGGGGATAAGTAGCAGATCGCTGCCTGCCTCAATGAAATTTCTGGGTTGTCAAATATTAGAAATGGTAAATGGTAAAGATGAAATAATTGGAAAAGAAGTGGTTATTTTTCTAGCAAACAGGGAGGATCAAAGGTGTTTTCCACAAAGAGAAGAAGATTTATAACTAATGCATTAATTGTTAATCTTGTATTTAAAAGTGTAGTGTTTACTGATTAAGAAAGGAATATTAGCCTGAAAAGAAGTGGTTTTAAAATGTCACGGGTATAGTTCTTTTGACATTTAACTTCAACCAACCAACCAAAAAAAAAAAAAAAAAAAACAACCACAAAACAGCCCAAAACAGACAAACACACACACACACAAAGTCAAGAAAAAAATCCCAAACTTAGCACTCATTCTTTCTTCTCTAATGTTCTTTGTAAGCTCAGCATCTGGAAGAAACACTGGTATACTCAACTGTGTTTTGTTCAGAATGATTTAGTAGTTCTGTAACCTGAAAACACTGACAGTGTGATTGAGGAATATATTACTGAATTGAAAGGCATTTGAGTGCTGTGATTCAAGACTGGTTTGTATGTAGTATTGCCTAAATACTCAGAACAAATCTACTAGCTCCTGGGGTGAGTGATTATTACATTTTTTTTTTTCAACTGCAGGATGATATCTTCTCTTCAGCCTGTGGAAGAGACTCTGAGGGGACCTTATTGTGGCCTTCCAGTACCTGAAGGGGGCCTACAGGAAAGCTGGGTAGCAACCTTTTTGTTAGGGCAGGTAGTGACAGGACAGGGAGAAATGGTTGTAAACTACAAGAGGGTAGATTTAGACTAGATATTAGGAAGAAATTCTTTACTGTGAGGGTGGTGAGACACTGGGACAGGTTGCCCAGTGAGGTTGTGGATGCCTCCCTGGAAGCATTCAAGGCCAAGCTGGATGGGGCTGTGAGCAACCTGGTCTAGAGGGAGGTGTCCCTGCCTATAGCAGGGGGTTGGAACTAGATGATCTTAAAGATCCCTTCCAATCCAAACCATTCTATGAGCCTCCTGAAGCAGGAATCCATATTGCAGCCAGTTCTGTTGTACTGGAATGTTGAAATGCTAGAGGAGATTCTTATGTGATAATAATTGTATCCAAAAGAGGCTCTAATTTCTTCCCTGTAAGCAGAGTATGTTCTGAAGATAATTGAAACGCCAACTATTTGCGTGCTCTTGAGAGACATGTTGTTGCTGGGCTTCAGGCATGAACATTTAAAAAAGTAAAGCTGAAAAATATGAATGAGTCAGTGGTTAACTCAAATTTATGCTGAATTTCACATGAGGAATTGCAGAAACTAAAGGCTGAATGGTGGCATGGGCTAATCTGAAAGTCAATAGAAAAATTCTGGTTGTGAGCAATTTGGGAGGCTTCTGTATTATTGGCTTATTCCATTATACTGTCTTATTTGGAAGAGAGGATGGAGTTCTGGATTCTGAGAGGTGTGAGCACAGCGTAAAGCTGCATCACAGCCAAGAAGTTTATGGGTTAAACGAAATTGAGGAGTTGTGGATACATCAGAGAGTTGTGCTGCTGTTCAGAGGAGCCTTAACAAGCTGTGGAAAAATGGTTTGAGAGGAATCCTGTGGAGTTCAACAAAGAAAAATGCAGTTCCACACAGAGGTGAAATAACTCCAGGCACCAGTAGATGCTGGGCAGCAGCTGCCTGGGAAGTAACTATGCAAAGAAGGCTTTGTTGGACAGCAAGCTGACCATGAGCCAGCAAGGCATCCTCAGGGCAAAGATGGTTAACAGCATCCTAGGCTGCATTAGGCAGAGCATTGCCAGCAGGCTGGGGAAGGTGATCTTTCCTCTCTCTTCAGCACTGGTGTGACCTTACTTGGAGAACTGGCTCCAATCCTAGGCTCTCCAGTACAAGAGAGACCTAGGGCATGAATGATAAAGATGATTAAAGGTCTGGAGCATCTTTTATATGAGGAAAGACTGGGAGAGCTGGTACTGTTGATTCTGGAGAAGGGTTGAGGGGGGAATCTTACGTATGTATAAATCCCTGAAGGGAAAGTTCAAAGAAATGGGAGTCAGACTTAGTGGTGCCCATGGACAAGACAGAAGGCAACGGGCACTAATTAAAATCCATGAAACTCCATCTGAGCACAATAAACCTCCCACAACTTTTTTTTTTTTTTTTTTTTTTAACTGAGTACTGGCACGGGTTTCCCAGAGGGGTTCTGAAGCCTCCATTTACTGGACACAACTACTATTCCTGAGTGGTCACTGAAATTAGGTGTCTTAAGCAAAGCAATTGGGAATTTTCTGAAAGGTCTGAACTCTTGTCCTTGTAAATTTTTTTTGATCAGTTTGCCACTGAGGTATGTATTTCATCTAGTATTTATAGCTGTTCCCTGGCTGATTGCGTTTCCAAAAAAATTCAATGAGAAATCAAAAGTAAACTTGATTTTCCTCAAAAGCACTCAACAGTCAGTGTTCTTAGTGTGTTCTATTTGTTGGGTTTTTTTTTTTTTCTGTTTGTTTGTTTTTTTTCTTTTGAGACAGCACAGTGTAGTAAGTATAGCAGTAAAATGTCCTGGAAGCCAATGAATGTTTGTAAGTCACTTTTACCACGGTGTGTGTGGTCTTGCTCTGAAATTGTTTTAAACCCCGAAAATCAAAAGCTGAAGAGTATCTTTTTATAAAATTGCATTTGTTCCTAATGCATAGCTTGTAGGCAGATGACAACTAGTAAAGGTTTCTTTTCCCTTGAACCATTGACTTGAATTAGTGCTAGGAGGCTGCCTGTCAGCTCCTGGGTCTGTCTGGCTTTTCTCTCTACTGCCAACACTGTGAATTTCATCTCTTCCAAGGATAAATTGTCATTTCTAGCCATCTTTTCTGTAAATAGTGATCTTAACTCTAAGCTTCATTGGACTTTTCTGTATCAGCTCTTTTTTTTTTTTTTTAATGTGGGGGAAAAATGAAACTATTACAGATGGTTTAATAGGGAAAAGTAGAGCCACAGAGCAGCAGCGTTTTATACCTAGCCTTGTTTATGAGTGGTCTGAATGGTTGTAGTTCTGCCCTCTGTGTATTTTGGGATCTGGGATGCATAATCACTTCAGCTGCTGCATCCTGTGCCTATGTGTGCTGGCTGTTGGTGAAGCTGCCAGAGGCTGCTCCTTCTGGGAGACCTTGACGTGGTGCCAGCACACTGTGGGATGCTGGTGGGAGCTCTCACTGGCCTTTGTGTTCCTACTGGCATTTATAGGGACAGGCTAAAATAATTCTGACTAATGTTAAATGAGGTACTGAAAGCTCATTCAAACAATTCAGCATGCACAAATTATTTTCAGGCGTTTTGCCTATTGATGCAATGTATATTACAAAGTGCTAGAGGGTACAAATGTTTTGGGCTCCTCAGTTCCTGTGGGTGGGCAGGGCTTTAAAAGGCTTTTTGGTTAAATGGTAGTTTTCTAAACTTTTTCTCTTTGTCAGATCTCATGAGTAAGGGCTCCGTCCCTTTGCTTTTACATTTTTCCTATTGCCCCCCTGCTGTCCGTGACCT